GCTGGGGAATTCTGGGAGTTGAAGTCCACACATCTTAAAGTTGCCAAGGCTGAGAAATACTATTCTAATATGTTTGGTTTGCAGCATGCATCTCCCTTAATCTGCAGCAACTGGCTTGGGAGCATGACCTTGCATATTTCGAACCTTTTCCCTTCTCTCCTTGGATAATTCTTTCTTCTTGCCCCCTCTCACTTTATCCCTTTACACATCTCTTGTCAGTCACTGACCCAGACACCTTGCGTGTTTGTTCCTAGGGAGGGGGGAGAACAATCCACAGATCAGGCAATCTGCACCCTGTCTCGAGGGGCCAAGGGGAGGAGGGAGATGCTGAAAGGTCTACTGTTGAATATTGCATTTTGGAGCCAGTGTCCGGTATCTCCGACAACCCGGAGTGACTCCAAGACAGTCTGGGAGGCTGACAAGGGACTGCGGTGAGAGAGGATTAGCTCGCGATCAGAAGGCCGAGGCGCCTCCTGCAGGCTGTTCTGGCCCGCTCTTAAAAGCCGCTTTTCCAATTTGTGAGTTGTTGATTTGGTCCGTGCAAAGGTTCGATACCAAGACGTTCGAAGGCGACGTGAACAGATCCTCCGCATGAAACTGATCTGGATGCTTACGAATTGATAGGTCCTGCCCAAGCATATCCTTTGTCCAAATCCCATTGATAGAACGCCATATCTGTTGATGGAATTTCCTTCCCAGAGAGGCTCAGTTGGCACCCTCGTTAGCATCGTTTTGATACCAGGTGAAGACCTGTTTGCCCAGGCTTTTAAAGTAGTTGTTAATGGTTTGTTAATTAGTATGATTTTAGTTTTTGAATGCCCACCTTGCAACTGCCTAGCTTGTATGATGTTATTTTGCCTTTTATTTGATTTTACCTTTGCTTTTATTCCATTTTTTAAGTGTATTTTATTGTAAACCATCTAGAGAGCTTCAGCCATTGAACGGTTTTCACATTTTAATAAAATCAGATTTACAGTTTGAATTTGGGGTCACTCTGATCCCTAATATTTCTCGCTTTTTCTGAGCATAAAAGTTCCTCCTACAGCTGATCCACCACTTCCCAATTACTGTTTTAATTAATGTTGCTATTCTTGCTTCTCTGATCCTTTGTTTTTTTCCAGATACTACCCAATGGGCCATCCAGTTTCGGTCCACCTCTACTTTCTCGCTGATCATTTTCAGGGCTTCCTCATCAGACACCACACTTCCAATTTGGCTGCCAGTAAGCTGGAGACCTTAGAAACGTGGATTATGCCCAAGAAGGTGTTCAAGATTGCGAGCCCCCCGAGTGATTTCGGAAGGCTGCAGTTCTTGGAGGTACACGTTGCTCATTTCTCATCTACATTTCTGGAAGCGAAAATAGTTTACATCCCTATGAGTGCCTAGTCAGGGATCATGGCCTAGGTTTGAAATGGATGATTGGGTTCTTCCACTTCTTATAACTAAATGGGTTACTGGTTGCTGGTTACTGAATTCGCCCATTTTTTCGAAGGCATACTAGGCATTGAAACCTTAACTAACCAAGCTGACTGGTTCACACAAACGCTAATTTGTGTGCTATTAGCATGCTATTTGAACACGTCTCCAAGTCTTTATCCAGCCTGGTTCAGCAGCCTGTTGTCTAAACAAAGCCATATGCAGGCGATGGCTTTGTTCCTCACCACTTAACATGCCTTGGAAGGCAAGGAAGAGACAAGATGGCTTTCATTTAACTTAAGAGTTCCAAGAATCTCTCGTGCTAAACCAAATCAGGAAAACAGGGAGGGGGAAAAAAGTTGGTTTCTGGCCGCCTTAGCTGTTGCAATTCATCACAGAGAAGAAAATTAACTAGGCAGCAGGCAATTAGTGTTCCCTGTGTGAACTGAACAGTCCCTGTTTATGATGAACAATTAGATACAAACTAGTAGTCAAAGCATCGTTTGTCTTGGCCAAATGATGTGCCAGTCTAGGAGGGGACCAAAGAGATGGGCTTTTCAGGCTGCAAAAACTGAATCAGGAGCCAAGGGACCTGGTGATGGGACTGAGAAGAGAGGACCAGATTGCTCAGTGAGGAAAAAAAATCATTAGGCTGAATATCTTTGAGGATATTTATGGAAATTTGTTTCCTTGTATTGACAAGATTTCCTGAAGCTCCTCCATTAATAAGAGCAAATATGGATAACCTAAACCAGCTTTTTCCAGCTTGACACCCTCCAGATAAATGGAGGAGTTATAACTCCCAGAATTCCCCTGCCAGCATGGCAGCTATTCATTATGGCTGCAACCCCACCACACCTGCAGCACCAGTTGAGGAAAGCTGGTCTGAACGGTGACTTTCTGGCCTAGGTTCTTCTCTTGAAGAAAGGGGGGAGTCATGTAGTTAAATGAAGATGACAGCAGTAGTTTGTATTTCCATAAGTGATGTGCTCTTGGAAAGCAGCCACCCCAATATTTCTTGCGCCTAAACAGGTGAGATTAATAGCTTGTAGAAGAGGAACAAGTCCCATAACAATCAGGGATATTGATCTCAGCCCAAACCAAAAGCTGAGAGATCTCTAGGACACATCCACTTCCAAACTAAAGGGGTTTCTCAGTGGCATAACATGTGTGATATGCAGAACTTCAGTAGGAACATTTTTGGAGCCAGTGTTGTATAGTGGTGAAAGTGTTCGCCTAGGAGAGAGAAACCCAGGGTCTAGTCCACCTTTAGCCACAGATGTTCCATGGGCCAGTCCTTCTCTCTCAGCCCAAAAGCCAGTGTGGTGAAGGGGTTGGCCAAAGAGGAGGAAGATCCTCAGGTTCTAGTATCTCCTCAGCCACAGAGGCTCCCTGGAGGACTTTGGGCCTCTGCCTCTCTCTCATCCCAAGGGCCAGTATGGTGGACTGGTGAAAGTGCTGGGTTAGGAATGTGGAGATCCAGGTTCTTGTACCCCCTGGGTGACTTTGGGCCAGTCACTCTCTCCCTCTCTCTCAGCCCAAACTACCTCACAGGTTTGATGTTGTGGGGAAAAATTGGAGGAGGGAGCACTGTGTTTGCTGCGTTGAGCTTCTGGAAGAAAGGTGGGATTAAATCTAATAAAAACGGAGATGAGGTTCTAAGCCAATTTTTGACATCCCAGCTGAAAACAATGCCATTCGCTTTCTTCTGGATCAAATTTGATGGTGTGTATCTGTGTTATTACTGGGCTTCGTTGAAGGGACATCCAAATGAGAAGTTAAACTTCCAGAAGTCTACCGGAAGCCCTGCTTTGCGTTCCTATTGATTCCAAACAGGGAAACTCACACACTAGTCCACATTGACACGTAGTTATGTGTATGAGAGAGAGATTGTATATCTCTGTTGAGTTCTGCAGGGTTGTGATGGACAAAATACATACTTACTTCTTTTTTAAAGCTAGACAGTTTGGTGACCACAAACCCCACTGCACACAGCAGTGATGGTGGCACCTAAAATAGAATTCTTGATTTGCGCTTATATGATGTGCTTTGCAGAACAGCTTCATTCCTTGTACTCCGAATCCCACTTCTCCATTACTTGTAATTTATTGAAAGATCACACATGTTCCTCGTGTATTCCTCAGGAGGCTATTCTATCTCATCTTGTTCCTTCATTTATCCACAATTTTTTAAAAAGATTAAATGTATATTTCTAATCATAGTCTATCCCAAAATACACATTTCAAAATATATGCTTTTTTTCTCAAAATAACGGTTGCTAAGTTTAGCTGCTCTGGTGCTTTTTTAAAACTTTGCTGGAAAGAGCAGTCCATCAATCCATTAAACTTTTGTCTCCACATGAGGAGAGGATGTCAGGACTGAGTGAAATCATAGTGGCTGTTTCAAAAGTCCAGTTCCTTGAGCATTCCTAGATTCACATCTTAATGTGTTAAGAAGTTCACTCTTTCTTTCCACTGGAGGCTAAGAACATAACAAAGGCCCTCCTAGATCGAGCCAAGGACTCACCTGTCCCTCTGGATCACTCACCAGTGCACAAAAAACTCATAAGATGGACCTGTAGCTGAAAGTTTCTATTATTGTTCCCAACAGAGTTAGTTTAGAATATAGTAAAGAGCCATTAAGACTAAGAGCCACTGATGGCCTGACCCACCATGACTTTCAATAGTCCCTTTTAATAGTCTCCTTGGACTCAAGCTGAAGTCTTGATGAATTTCTGGATACCACTCTGCTGTTTTCTTGGCAACAATATGGAAATAGTTAGCCACTGTCTTCTTCCAAGATATATTTTGAACTTCTCCGTCTAGGCTACAGTCCTTGGATGTCTCCCATCCAAGTACTAACCAGTCCTGTCTCTGCTTAGCTTTTCTGAGATCAACCAAGGTCAGGTAGCTGCTGCTTGCAGTTGAGATAGATCCTTCTAAACCATGTAATTAATTCTAAAACATAATAATGGTACTAGAGAACTACTGTAATAGAATAAGAACATTCTTTTTGTAGTATTAAATCATCATCATGTCCAAAGCATAAATTGTGCCTCAGAATGGCCAGCTAGAGGAATTTGGAAAATTCCCAAGTACGAACAGGTACTTAAAATCTGTTGCTTGTGGATTAGGAGGTAGAAAATAGTATCAAGATTAGTAGTCACCGAGTTCCTGATCCTCTGAATTTATCCTGTCTCTTTTTTAAACCATCTAAATTGGTGGCCATCTCTCCTTGGCGATGGTGGCCAATGTCATGAAATGCATTGAGGTTTTGAGGTCAGTGAGGTAGAGTTCTTCTAACCTGTCATTCTTTGAATGTTTGCTGAATGGCAATTTATGTTGGCCGTGCAGATGGGGAGGTTACAACTTGTGGCTCGGGGACATCTGAAGGCTTCCTACCAGCTGTGTCTGCCCTGTTTGCAAGTGGTGTTTTCCATCTTTCCCAAAAGCTTGTTGCATTTTTGCACTCTCCCTCATTGAAATAAGAGAATGTGAGTTCTTAAAAGGAAAAAAAAATAACCTCCCAAAGATTATAGGGACAATCGTCTTCCAAAATGTTTGGTATAAAATTAGCGTTCATAACCAGAAATAACGTACTGCAATTAGAAAGTACAGAGTTGGGTAGGAGAAAGTATTCTGACTCTAAAATGAAGCAATCTTTTGCTTTCAAGCCACGGCTAAGTGAAGTTTCGGGATAGTGGGGAACAAATGGGCTGGTGGATTTGAGAATGTATATCCCTGGGTTTTGGGAAATCTTGATTTTGGCTTTAATAAGCTATTCGTCATTCTCTGCTTACAATAGCTGTAGATCTTTTTTTACAGCTGACCCCCTTAAATTAATATTAGGATAATCTAGAACACTGTTTTTCAACCTCAGCAAGATGTGTGGACTTCAACTCCCAGAATTCCCCAGCCAGTACATGCTGGCGGGAGAATTCTGGGAGTTGAAGTCCACACATCTTAAAGTTGCTGATTAGGATTCAGGATATCCAGAGGATCTAGGATCTAATCCTAGGATCTAGGATTAACACTGATTAAGATTCAGGGAAATCCACAGGAACCATCAAGAAAGTCTAGGAGATACCTGTAACATGCAGTGGCATGTTTAAAAGGGCGGGGCTTTAATCATGTGGTCCTGGCTGCCATTTTGATGTTTTTGACTCCCGACCAGACCCCCCCTGCAAGGATTCTTTTTCAATTGCAAGTTAATCTTGCAACCTCCCCCTCCTTAAAAAGGAAGCCTGTTCATAACCTTCCTGCCTGATTAATGTTTGCTAGCTGAAACACGGACATCTTAAAGTCTCTGTTTCTTTAGCAGAAGCATCCGTTGATACTGATTAATTAAAATGGCATCATTGGGGTGTATATCAGCATGGAAATTATTCATATATTGCAACTGAGAGAAAGCAAGTATGAGATTAGTCAAAAAGCTGAAGGTGATCTTTTAAGAACTCAAGGAACAGCGGTCGGAATTATTAATGAAACGTTTCACTTAACTATATCTTGAGATCCTGTGCTTCAGCTCTTGCATTAGTAAATTTGTCCTTTCCTTCTGGAATTGTTTTTTAAAGGATTGGTATTGTATATCGAAGCCATTAAAAAAATGTTTGGCTTCTTCCTGGAATAATTGCAAAAGGCCAGAAGAAACAGAATGATTAATCTTGAGTTAGTATTACAAATATTGATATTTAAATATCACTTGCTTTTATATTCAGGAGGGATGAAGTCATCTGATGCATGTTGATTAAATCAGATCAATAGTTAGCCCTGGTCAGCTTTTAATGAATTTGGGTAGAATTTGCTCCCTTTTTTATCATTTGCCTTCTACTTACTATAAATAAACCATGTATTTACTTGTTATTTAAACTACTACTGTGTCGTGGTGAAGATGTTGGACTAGGAATGGGGAGACCCTTGTTCTAGTTCCCCCTCAGCTATGGACTCTCCTTGGGAGACTTTGGGCCAGACCCCCTCTCTCTGCCCAGCCTACCTCACAGAGGTGTTGTTGTAGCGAAAAGAGGAAATTCTATACATGCTGCCTTGAACTTCCATAACAACCAATTAGTGAATGGGGAAGCCAACTCCACATTTGTTTTGTGTGAAAGAACCATTGTTGTGGTTGGATTTCTAATTTACCAATAACCAGGATAATTGGTCTCCCCAGCAAGCATTTGGTGCATAGTAAGTCTCTTCTGTGCCATTTTGTGAGAGCATCCATGACATCCTCACCATCGTCATCATCGTCATCACTGTAGCAGTATTTTTGAATCAACCCAATATGCTACACACAGGGTAGAGAACAACACTGTGAGAACATTAAGAGTTTCTAAACAAAACTGGGAAAAAGGAAAGGCAAGAATATATTTTTACAATTCTGGAGGTATCAATGAGTGCTGAAAGTTTCTGATTGTAACGGTATGTGGGAAAGACCTTGGGAGACGGGGGTGGGGAATAGACGCTGCCTAGGGAACAGTCAGATAAGAGGGAGCGTAGCCTGCAGCTGTATAATGGATGGAGAAAGAGGCTCAGAAGAGACCCTCACTAATTTCTCAGGGTATAAAGGAGATGGGGAGAGAATTGTACTTTCAGACTTGCAAGATTCTGTCAATGTAGCCTTAGAATAAAGTAGAATTAGCTCATCTGGCCGTGTTTCCTGTCTGGTCTACCTGGTAAGGTGGACACTGATAGGGTATGTAAGATTTACAGTCTCTGCCTAAACAACAGAGGTAAAATCACAGATTTTCAGTGGCTTAGAGTCCTTTCTTATAGCATCATCTCCTGTGGTTTTCCCCTTCTTTCTTTTAGGTTGGAACAGACTGGGATGCTAAAGAGAGGATATTCCGGAATTTTGGAAGCCTTATTGCTCCAACGGATGAGCCTGTGGGGATGCAGAAGTGGGCTAAGGGTCCCAATGTCACCGTGACAGTCATCTGGGTGGACCCCATCAACGTCATTGCCGCCACCTACGATATCCTGATCGAATCCAGTGCTGAGTTCACACATTACAAGCCGCCTCTGAATTTACCCCTCCGGCCAGGAGTTTGGACAGTTAAAATCCTGCATCACTGGGTCCCTGTGGCTGAAACCAAATTCCTGGTCTCTCCTCTGACATTTTTGAACAAGCAAGCCATCAGACAAGGTAAGCCTTTTTTTTTTTCCCCCAGAATGAGGAAGCCAGTACAGTGATACCTCGGGTTACGATCTTAATCCATTCCGTGACTCTGGTCGCAACCCGAATTGGTCACACCCCAAAGCAAATTTTCCCATAAGGTTCAATGTAATTACCGTTAATCCGTTCTGGCGTCCGTGGACCACGCGTCGGGCGGAAAAACGGCCGCGGACCATGCGGCAGGGGTGGAAAAATGGCCGCAGACCACGTGGCACGGGCAGAAAATGGCTGCAGATCCAGTTCGTAACCCGAGGTAAATTTTTGCAGCCGGAGCTGGTTGCAACCCAAAAAGTTCGTTAGCAGAGGCGTCCGTAACCCGAGGTACCACTGTAAATCAAAACAAAACCATACTGGAGCAAAATCAGAGTATTCAGCCGCTGCAAAATCAGAATATTTTCAGTCTTTGTCTCAACTGAAAAGGCAGCATTTCCTCAGTTCTTTCCCACTGATATCAAGGACTTGGATAATGATCACAACGGCGAAGCAAAGCTTTATTAATTGGGGGGCAGCATTGAGGGGGATGGGGAAAGCCACCACAGTTGTATAAGTACAACACATGAGTACTTTTAGTACTTGGGGGCACAAGGGAGCCCAATTATTGCTGTTCTTTCACTTGCAAAATTATTGGCGAGGGTATTTCACGCAGCTCCCCTTCAATTTGCCCATCTCCAACGGTGACTGTCGAAACAGCCCTTTAAAGACAACCGTCCTACTGTTTCAACTACAGCTTTCGCTTACTGGGCACCTCACCACCGAGATAACTTTGGCCCAAGTTAATGGCTAAGCCTGCCAATCCGGGTTTACAAAGCGCACTGGCTGGATTCCCACACTGCTCTTAACTCAACCCAAACCAACCACATGATAACTGAGCGGGGTGGATAAAACCAGCAACTGAAGGGTTTTGGAGCTGGTTGGCTAGCTGACAGCTTGGGCTGTTGTTCAAGATGAGAGCAGGCAATGGTTCTTCAGTTCAGTCTGAGGCATCTGCAGTTTGGGGAAAAGAGAAGGATCAGGTACAAGGGACCGAAAAGATTTCTGTCTTGGCACGCTGGAGAACAGCTGCTGGCTAGAGAAGACATAAGTGACCCAACTCATTATTTCTCTATCCTTGCTGGATGCTATTCCCTAGATCAGTGTTTCTCAACCTTGGCAACTTTAAGATGGGTGGACTTCAACTCCCAGAATTCCGCAGCCAGCAGGCTGGCTGGGGGAATCTGGGAGTTGAAGTCCACCCATCTTAAAGTTGCCAAGGTTGAGAAACACTGATCT